CTTTGTAGGTCATTAAGAACTTGCTTTATGTATCTGGGTACTCTTGTATTGGGTGCATATATATTTAGGATTGTTAGCCCTTTTTGTTAAATCAATCCTTTTGCTATTATGTAATGCTCTTCTTTGTCTCTTGATGTTTGTTAGTTTGAAGTCTGTTTTATCTGGGACTAGGATTGCAACTCCTGCTTTTTTGCTCTCCATTTGCTTGGTAAATCTTCTTCCATCCCTTTATTTTGAGCCTTTGTGTATCCTTGCACGTGAGATGGATTTCCTGGATACAGCACACTGATGGGTTTTGACTTTTTATCCAATTTGCCAGTCTGTGTCTTTTGATTGGGACATTTAGCCCATTTACATTTAAGGTTAATATTGTTATGTGTGAATTTGATCCTGCCATTTTGATGCTACCTGGTTGTTTTGCCCATTAGTTGACGCAGTTTCTTCATTGTGTCGATGCTCTTTACCATTTGGTACATTTTTGGAGTGGCTGGTACTGGTTGTTCCTTTCTATGTGTAGTGCTTCTTTCAGGAGCTCTTGTAAGGCAGGCCTGGTGGTGATGAAATCTCTGAGCAATTACTTGTTTGTAAAGGATTTTATTTCTCCTTTGCTTATGAAGCCTAGTTGGCTGGATTTGAAATTCTAGGTTGAAGGTTCTTTTCTTTAAGGATGTTGAATATTGGCCCCCACTCTCTTTTGGCTTGTAGGGTTTCTGCTGAGAGATCCGCTGTGAGTCTGATGGGCTTCCCTTTGTGGGTAGCCGACCTTTCTCTCTGGTTGCCCTTAGCATTTTTTCCTTCATTTCAACCCTGGTGAATCTAACAATTATGTGCCTTGGGATCGCTCTTCTTGAGGAATATCTCTGTGGTGTTCTTTGTATTTCCTGGACTTAAATGTCGGCCTGCCTTGCTAGGTTGGGGAAGTTCTCCTGGATAATATCCTGAAGAGTGTTTTCCAGCTTGGGTTCATTGTCTCCATAACATTCAGGTATATCTATCAAATGTAGATTTGGTCTTTTCACCTAATCCCATTATTTCTTGGAAGCTTTGTTCATTTCTTTTCACTCTTTTTACTCTAATCTTGCCTTCTTGTTTATTTCATTGAGTTGGTCTTCGATCTCTGAGATCCTTTCTTCTGCTTGGTCGATTTGGCTATTGAAACTTGTGTATGCTTTTTAGAGTTCTCGTGTTGTGTTTTTCAGCTCCATCAGGTCGTTCGTATTCTTCTCTAAGCTGTTTATCCTCGTTAGCATTTGTCAAACCTTTTTTCAATGTTCTTAGTTTCTTTGCATTGGGTTAGAACATGTTCTTTTAGCTCAGAGAAGTTTATTACCCACCTTCTGAAGCCTGTTTTTGTCAATTCATCAGACTCACTCACCATCCAGCCTTGCTCCCTTGCTGTTGATGAGCTGTGATCCCTTGGAGGAGGAGAGGCATTTTGGTTTTGGGTGTTTTCATCCTTTTTCTTTGGTTTCTTCCCATCTTTGTGGATTTATGTACCTGTGGTCTTTGTAGTTGGTGACTTTCTGTTGAGGTCTCTGAGTGGCCGTCCTTTTTGTTGATGATGAAGTTATTTCTCCCTTTTTTTAGTTTTCCTTCTAACAGTCATGCCCCTCTGGTGTAGGACTGCTGGAGGTCCTCTCCAGACCCTGCTTTCCTGGGGATCACCTGTGGCGGCCCCTGCATTCTCGCTGGGAACCACACTCCAGAGCTGTTCCTATTTGACCCATCTTGGATCGTCTTGCTGCGTCTCTTTTAACTTTGATTGTGGTGTCACATTGTGTAATGGAAGTTTTTTATTTTGTGAAAGTGTCCATCATTTCTTTTATGACTTTTGTGTTTTGTGTAATATTAAGAATGCCTTCCCCATGTGGAATTATTTAAATGTTTTATTTTTGTATAGTATTTTATATCAGTTTTTTAACTCCATTTTGAGATTTTTCTAAATTGATGGCTGGTTGACCTAGCCCTATTCGCATGTAGTTTATTCTTTTCTCACTGAGATTTGAAGCCTCCTTTATCATAATCTAAACATAATCACACACACACACACACACACACACACACACACACACACACACAGATTTACTTCTGGACCCTCTATTCTGTTCTTTTTGCTGTTTTTTTCTCATTTATTTACTAAAAGTATACTTTATTTACAGTAGTTTACCAAGTCTTTTGAAATCTGAGAAGGCAACAACACTGTGTTTCATTTTACTTCTTTTGAGTATTTGCTGTTTTTATTTATATTTTTTCTCTTTCTCTTTGTTAGCTATTTTGTTTTGTTTTGTTGTGTTGTGTTAGTGTTACTGTATAACCTTACTCTACCTTCTTCTGATTAGTGGCTATTTTATGTGTGAATTAGAAAACTAAACAAACTGGCAGTATTTTAGATAAAACAATCTGTCTCTCGCTCTTTTTTTTGGGATGGAGTCGTGCTCTATCACCCAGGCTGCAGTGCTGTGGTGGGATCTCAGCTTACTGCAACCTCCAACTCCTCCCAGATTCAGGCAATTCTCCTGCCTCAGCCAACAGAGTAGCTGGGACTATACACGTGAGCCACCACGCCCAACTAATTTTTGTATTTTTAATACAGACAGGGTTTCACCATATTGGTCAGGCTGGTTGCAAACTCCTGACCTCAGGTGAGCCATCTGCCTCGGCCTCCCAAAGCTCTGGGATTACAGGTGTGAGCCACCACACTCGACCAGATAAAACAATCTTTAAAGCAAGGAAATAAATTCTTAGGAAACTGATTCATGGGTAGAATATTCATGCTTTAACACATGGAGTTTATGTGGATTTTAGTTTCTCAGAGGCCTGTATTTTTTGTTTCTGAATTATTGGTGGTATTATAAATAGTGGATGTTGAATATATAATCTATGTGAACATTATTATATATTAAAAATTATTTTAAGAACAGAAGCTGTGTTTAAATCATTTTGCTAAATAATATTATTTCTGTCGCTTTATGTTAATAAAAGTTGTGTGTTAAGAGAAAAACACAGTAGATATGACCAAGCCCATGTTTTGCTTTTGGGTTTTCTTTCCTAATAATAGAGAATAAAATAAAGATAATTAGATAATTAAGTAGAATAAGCCATTACTCTTATTTTAAATCAGCTAGAGGTAGGTGCAATTATACGAGCTGCATCTGTTACCATGGAGCTTCCTTAACTCAAACTCAGCTTTAAAATTTGGAAAAAAAAAAAAAAGGTGACCTGCTTCACACTTTGAAAAAATAAAAATATGATTTTCAGTGATCTTCGGTAGCTATAGCCCTTATTGTACTTAGATTGCAGACTTTAAAGTGGCCATCCTGTTTTACTACAGAATCAATAGGACATCCTGCATTATCTTCTCAGGTCTAAAGCATATGAAATAGAGAAGTAGGTATGTATAAATTAAAATTTTGTGTAGTGTTATTCAAATAAAATGAATAGATTCAGCATGCTTTTTAGAACTTTAAGCTTTTGTTTTTCTTTAAAATATCTCGGGTGCTACAAATTATACCATGCAATACTATAAATTTGTTATATATCTGTATATGTATAGCACATATTGCTTTTGGACCATTTTCCTTATTTCTAGACAGCTGGATTATTTTAAGAGTTTCTGGGACTGCACTGAGTTTTGGGAGACCTGGGGCTCAGAAAGGAACCTATACTTTTTCTATACATTTCAATCTTAGAGTACCCCAGAGATCCAGGAATAGGATAGTTCTATATTATTAATATTAGCATCTAGAAAGTCTAATTAGATCTCACTTGGGCAAAAAACATACCATTTTAGGCTTGGGGTTCCTGAAGTTATATATATCTCTGCATATGGGATTCAATAGGTTGATATGCTGTGTGACAGAACTCAACAAAGTAGATCCAGCCTGCAGAAACATATATTGATTGGCCAACACTGTGTTTTAAAAATATCTGGATTTATGGCTTCTCCTGAAAAATAGAAAGCTTTAACATACTGGGCCCACATCACCACATGGTGGCAACTAGACAGACATATGCTTTCCAGCTTGTCAGGATCCCAACCACTCCTTCTCCTGAAGGTGTCATTTGTCATTTCTCACCACATTTGCACAAACGTCTACTTGCTCAACACATTTATGTTACCTTCCTAGCACCTAAAGATTTGGAACTTCTATTTTACACTCTTCAGTGCACACTTCTTTCTCTGTATGTGGTACAGCTAAAGTAAAAATAAAGGGACTGCAATTTAACATAGAACAAAATCAACTCGTTTTCCTGGAAACATATTACATTCATGTCTTCATACCTTTGCTTTGCATTTTTTTCTTCCCTCAGATATTTATTGTCTTGCTGAATGAATTCAACTCAGCTCAGTGGAATTCATTGAATCATACTTGATAAGTTCTATCTACAGTTTTTTTCCTCTTCTGAAGTCTTAGAACACTTATTTTCTCCATCATTATAAATGTATTATAGGAGAGCTTTAGGAGAGCCTCCCCTTAAGGCTTGTGTGTGGTCTTATGAAGAGCGTTTTTTTTTTGTTTTTTTTTTTTTTTTTTTTTTTGAGATAGGGTCTTGCTCTGTTGTCCAGGTTGTAGTGGAATGGAATGGCATGATCTTGGCTCACTGCAGCCTCTACCTCCCAGGTTCAAGTGGTTCTCCTGCCTCAGCCTCCCAAGTAGCTGGGATTACGGGCGTCCACCACCATGCCCAGCTAATTTTTGTGTTTTTAGCAGAGGTGAGACTTTGCCACATTGGCCAGACTGGTCTCGAACTCCTGACTTCAAGTGATTTGCCCACCTCGGCCTCCTGAAGTACTGGGATTATAGGCATGAGCCACTGTACCCAGCCTGAAGAAGTCTCTGATTAGTCTTTTCTTAATATGGTTCACAATTCATTTTTTCAGAGACATACATATAAAGTTGTCATTTTAAAAACTCAAAAAGTTCCTTAGTTTTTGTTTCCTAAGTTTTCTCAATTGGCCTTTGGACATTAAATTTAAATATTGTTTTCCTGTCTTTCAGTTACAGATGAGGACACAGTAAAAAGGTATTTTGCCAAGTTTGAAGAGAAATTTTTCCAAACCTGTGAAAAAGAACTTGCCAAAATCAATACATTTTATTCAGGTGAGTAAGAGACTTTTTTTTTTTTTTTTTTTTTTGCTGCCAAGGGTGGAGAAATTGTACTATATCATTATTTAAACTTCTGGTCAACATTTTTAATTGAGTCTTGTTTTCCTTACTATACAGCACTTAAGATATATTCTCTTGATAAGAACACATCTGGTTTCTCATTGTTTAAGCTTTCTGTGGTCATTGCCTAGAATCTCTCTTGCAGTCGAAAGGATATCGGGATTTCATTGAATAGAGGCAGTACCTTGGTAGAGCTTCACTGTGGCCCAGTGCAAAGGTTAAGGAGTCAGAAACTTGAGTTTATCATTTTAGCCAGAGATGAATTACACAGTTCCAGCTTATCAGTGATGACAGTTTTATACCTTTTCAATACCTAGAATACTCATACCTATTTCTCTAAAGCACTGAATTCCAGATTATGCCACTCAAATGTGAGAAGAAAATATTGGAACTTCTATATATTTATGTCTGACTCTTTTGAATTTTGTTTTTTATACATGTATGTTGTAATTTACATAATATGCATTAGTAAAACAATGTCTTTATAGGGAAAAATTTTGGAAACTATCTAGAGCACTACCTTAGACATCAAGAGTCCTGTGAGACCTAGTTAATAATCAGATAGTTTGATGAGTACAGAATCAGCCCAAAGTGAGTTAGATTCAGAAGGATGTTTGATCTAGACTCCGGAAATCTTACACATAGTCCCTGTTACACTGCCAAGCTTACAACCTAATAACTGGAATACCTGTCCTGTTGAATGTATTATATCTATTCCCTGAGCAGTAATTGATAAACAAAAAAAAAGTTTTAGTTTGTAATTTTATTCAGTATCAAAAATATAAAATTACTCATTTTTTCCTTTTCTTATTTAATCTGCAAATTACATGCCTGCTATTGAGAATATACTCATCTCTTGGGAAAGACTTTGGAAATACCATAATCTTATAACTAGCATAATCATAAAGCAGATATTAGTGTGGATTAGTTTAAAGCCGAATAGTTTCATGACTTTACTAGTTTGTTCTTCGGATGATTTTTTTCCTGGCTTTTCCATGACTTCTGGAAGCATCTTACTCATGTCCTTTTTCAGCAGCCCCTTCAGCTAGAGGCTGATCATTCCTTTTATAGAGTATTGTGAGACAGGAGATGGAAAAAGGTAAAAAGAGTCAGTGACAAAAAGCTGTCAGAAGATGAGAGACGGAGTCCAACATTCCCTTAGCTACCATTGTTCCTCCAAATCAGTGTATCTGTGTATTTCTGTAAAATACCATTGTTCCTCCAAATCAGTATTTCTGTGTATTTCTATAAAAGTGGATCTTCTTCTTAGCATCAGTATTGTATAGAATATTCCATTTCTGCCACTCCTATTTGTTGGCATCTACTGACCTCTTGGTTGCTCACTGTGAACTTAGACTCCTGGCTTTCAGCCTAAATAAATCTCTATCTTAATTTTTCATATCATGCCGGATGGTTTTATTGTCCTCGTGGGCAGTCATTTTCAGTTACACTGTACTTTAGCCACATACACACATAGCCATACCCATCACCCAGAATTCCTCTCCTCTAAAATACTGAAACCTATTATGAGTCTGTGACCATGTGTCCCAGCCTTTTAGCTTACTTCCCTACTCCTTTAACGTCTGTTTTTCCATCTCACAGAACTCTAGTTTCTTGACTCTTCCATTTTATTTCAGTTTATCATACACCTCTTAGAATTATTTCCTACTTTTTTCCTTTTCGTCATATTTTTTTCTTTTTGTGGAGAATGGGGTCTTGCTATGCTGCCCAGGAAGGTATTGAATTCCTGGGCTCAACCTATCTTCTTTCCTCTGTTTCCTAAGTGCTGGTATTATAGGTGTGGCCACCACACCCAGCCATAATTATTTTCTTCTCTGTCAATTATTTTAACCATTTTGATCCCTGTGTTTTTAATCCCTTTACCCTCACTACCTTATGTTGCATCTACCTAGTAAAACTCAACCAGTTCACCCTTTACGTTCTTTATGCCTACCCCACAGGGTGTGTAGGACAACAGCAGAAGAAATTGGAACAGAATAAATTCATTGTTGCACCCTTAACTATCGGTATCCGTTTTCATGCTCCAAAGTGCTTTTGTAAACCTTATATCATTCTCCAGAATTTTCTAACCGCACCGTCTTCCCCATTGTGCTCATTATACTCCCTGCTTTACAAACAAAAATAAAGGCCATCATCTGTTGATTTAATACCATGCAGATATATGGTATTATATCTGTACTTCTCCCCCAAATGCCTAATAGACATTTTCATTATTATTTGTTTTCCTCCAATCTTTGTAGAAGAGATATCCCTCTTTATTCCATGGCAGATCTTTACAATTACTGACTAAATTTTAGCTCTTCAAGACCTTGCTCCAGTAATTATTTCCTCTACGAATTACTAAATACATGTATTTAACTTCCCTTTTTACTGATTCAGTGTCCTTAGCAAGTCATTCCCTTCAAACAAAAAATAAATGAGCAAGCAAATATCTTAACTTTATATCCTCCTCATCGTCTTTCATTTGTAGCTGGGCTTTTTCCTTGGGCAGAGGGAACAGTTTATGCACAAGCAAGAGCCGTGAAAGAACATGGCATATATGCCTGTCTGTTTCACCAGGTTACGGGCACCTAGAAGGCAGAGACAAAATATAAATATTATTTAAAACCATGCAAGCAGGTAGATTTCCTGCAAGGGAAAAAGGGATTGCAATGTTCCCAAGGAGAAAGATTATTTCTATAATTAGGAGATAGAAAGATAAAGAGGAATCAACAATGTAGATAGAGAAGACCAGGTAGAAGGAGGAGGAGGAGACTAAAAAAGGAGGGCATTTGCAATGAAAGAAATATTTAGATTGAGAAAGCGTATTGGAAGTTATTGAGAAAGAGTAAGGCTGTAAATTATGAATATACAAAATAATGTTTATTAGCTTTTTTCTTTTACTATGATATTTTTTGAAAAAGAGGGGTTTCTAAGCTCAACTCTAAATAGGTGATTTATATCAGAGAATAGAAAATGCTTGTTTATGAATAAAAATATCTATTCTTGATAGTACTTTTTTTTTTTTTTTTGAGACAGGGTCTCACTTTATTGTTCAGGATGGAGTGCATTGGCACAATCTCAGTTCACTGCAACCTCTGCCTCCCAGGTTCAAGTGATCCTCTTGCGTCAGCCTCCAGCGTAGCTGGGATTGAAAGTGCGCACCACCACACCTGGCTAATTTTTTATTTTTATTTTGAGTGGAGATGGGGTTTCACCATATTGGCCAGCCTGGTCTCAAACTTCCTGACCTCAGGTGATTTACCCACCTCAGCCTCCCAAAGTGCTGGTATTACAGGCATGAGCCACTGCATCTGGCAGTAGATGATTTTTATATTTTGAGTTATAGTAAAAAGAAAAAAAACTCTACATTATGACCCAGCACACACCTGCAGATACTTTAATATAGATTTATATACATCTATATGTGAGTGACTATATAATATCTTTAAATAATTTAAAATGTTTGTATGAACAATACTTATCTTTAGTACTTGTAGTATATTATGTTTTGTATGTTTTTCCAGTTGTTTGATTTTTTAAATGCTGATTATGATCCATTAAATTGGTTTTATGGCCCCATGTTGGGTTGCAACCCTCAGTTCAAAACATGATTTCTGTAAGTTAGGTCACTTCTCAAAAATAATTTTAGGCTAGCTACTACTTAAAATGTTGGTGCTATGATTTGATGCCTTCCTGTTTTGTGTGTGTATTGGCAAGGCCAGTGAAGCATGTCTTGATGTCCTCACAGGTACAAATTGATAGTCTCTAGACTGACTCTTGCCAGATCAGGAAGTGATGGGTAATATTAAGACATGATTGACAGAAACGGAATTTGGTACTGGTCCTCAACAGTATGTTTTTCCCCTTATTTAGCCACCTTGTCCTCAGAAGATTGTAGACTGCAGTTCTCAGACACTAGGGCACAAGAAAAACTCTAAACAATATGGGGTGAGTTTAGCTTAATAACCTACCTCCACCCGCTTATATCTCACACATTAAATAGCTAAAAATGGTCCTTTTTTTTTTTTTTTTTTTTTTTTTTTTGAGATGGAGTTTCGCTTTTGTTACCCAGGCTGGAGTGCAATGGCGTGATCTCGGCTCACCGCAACCTCCACCTCCTGGGTTCAGGCAATTCTCCTGCCTCAGCCTCCTGAGTAGCTGAAAATGGTCCATTTTTAAGTGAAATATTTTTGACTAGAATCTTTAAATGTCCCAAAACAAATTGCCATATTTTATATTGTCTGTTTCTAATCACATCAAAAAGGCCAATCAAAATATAGCATGAATGCTGCTAAAATCTGGAATTTTTTTCTTGCCAGTGCTACTTGCTTATAAAACCAGCAAATTGATTCCCAACCCTCTAGGGTTCCACATGTTAGGATCAGAAGCTATTTTTAATATTCAGAAAACCTGATGTAAGTTATTTTGTTTGTCTTTATTGTTTATTATGTATCTGATTAAAAATTGACATTTATTTATATTTATAGATAAAATCTTTCAGTATTCGAAGATAATAGGAAGAGAAGGGAATTGTGAAAAGGAGGGGTCCTTCATGGTAAAAACATTGCTAATTCCTAATGTAGAGTTTCTTGGGTCTCTTCTGTCACTGAAAATAGTATCAATCCTGAAGGCTATATAATTGGAAACCCTTTGGTGGTGACCAGTAATGTCTTTTTTTCAGTGGACAGCTGATCCAACTGATCACTTCACTTTTTCCAAACCAGTTTGCCTTTTCTCTTCATTCAAAATACTTAGCTTCCAAACAGTGTTTATGTGCCTAATGTTAAAAAAAAAAAAAGAATATATGTGTTGCTTCTGATATTTCACAGAACAGTCAAGCCCCTTTTATTGGCTGGAATTTTGAAATAGCTAAATGCTTTTTCTTTATTTTTAAATAATTTCTTTTTTTCCTGGCTGAATTTTTTTGGCTT